TTTGCGGAGAGGATGTAGGACTCGGGAGCTATAATAGGTTTGGTAACCAGGCTATCTTGAGCAGCTTTCTTTGTTGAAAATGGATACTATAATTTGATAAATTGATACTATATTACCTGTATTATCATATCAAGAACAGAAACACTGTTTATTTATCCATTTTGCAGCCAGGGACTGTCATAGGGTTGGATGCAGAGTGGAGACCTTCATTTGGAAACACATTGATCACTCAGAGGTGAGGACATCAAAGTTTTATATTGAGTTATTAAAGGCAGACAAAACTCTTTTTTTTTCTGCCCACTTATATATAAAAAGTATACAAAAAAGTCAATTAGTTACTTGTTTTACATTAGTCCATCACAGATTAGCGTTTTAATGGAATTTGATACTCGCCCCGTGGTGAGGTCTGATATGGTGCGGTCTGGCGACCTTTGACCCCTATGACGTAATCTGACCTCTGAATAGCACCAGACATTACTAGAACGTCCTTGGGGAGGGTGCATATCCGCGCCATGCCTCCCTGCGTAGTTTGTAGCGGCCCGAAAGGCAAGGATGTGACCCTTTTTACGTTCCCTAAGGATGACAATAGACTTCATCAGTGGCTTGTGGCGGTGAGGACACACCTAAAACCACCGTGGACGGTAGAAAAAATTCGAGAGTTGCGTGAAAGTGGTTCAAAAGCTGCAGGTGCACGCATCTGTTCGGACCATTTCTCCCCGACCTGCTGTAAAGAAAATCTCAAGACGAGATTTCAACCCTATGTAAAAGGAGCCAAATTCGTCCTTACGAAGGATGCCGTGCCAACCCTGTTTGGCGAAGAGACGTCACGCAAGTCGTCTGAAAGTCAACGTGATAAGAGGAGCAGAAAAAAGGTTTGTGCAAGTTTTCGGTGGTTCGAACTTACGATTACTCTATCATAATTTCTTATTATTTTCCAATTTTCATACTGCACAGAGAAAAGTTATTTTTCGATCTAAATTTCCGGAAGTAAACTCCATACTTTATCCTGTATTAGTAGATTTTTTCTATCTAGTATTTTACGGTAGAAATGTTGCACTTACATTGTTTTTGTAGAGAACCTAGCCTGAGAGAATTCGAGAATGTGACATTGTTTTTGTAGAGAACCTAGCCTGAGAGAATTCGAGAATGTGACATTGTTTTTGTAGAGAACCTAGCCTGAGAGAATTCGAGAATGTGACATTGTTTTTGTTGAGAACCTAGCCTGAGAGAATGTGACATTGTTTTTGTAGAGAACCTAGCCTGAGAGAATGTGACATTGTTTTTGTAGAGAACCTAGCCTGAGAGAATGTGACATTGTTTTTGTAGAGAACCTAGCCTGAGAGAATGTGAGGTTTATGCAGTAAATATGTCATGAATTCTACATAATGGTTGACATAGCATTTTGTTAGTTTATTGGCATATAGATTATGCTCTCTAGTATTATAGCCATTATATATAAGTGGTGAAAATGGTAGGTGTGATTTTTATTTGATTTGCATTACAGTATCAGCAAAAGACATGACTGGAGAAGGCCACCCTGTTTTTGTTTATCAATTGTGAATTGTCATCAAGCAAAGAAGATAGACAAATATTTTCTTATGTCTGTGAGGAACTTGAATAATAAGCATTATTATATTTTGCTGGCTTATAGAATAACTAGACTTAGTAATAAGTACTAATTAGCACTAATCAAAATTTACCAAAACTTTTTGGTGTACATTTCAGCTCATTGAGTCATTGCTGGAGTCAACAAGTCAGCAAAAAGTTACAACAAGCAGCGCAGGGAGTCCACACAGCATTTTAAGTGCAGCAGCACAAGGTACAAGCCAGTCGGGCACAGCAGCACAAGGGATGAGCCAGTTAGGTGCAGCGGCACAATTACTAGTAATGAGCCAGTTTGTCGCAGCAGCAAGTAACATGAACACAACCAGACATGAGGTGAGCGACATGGACACAACACTTGAGTTGAGCGACATGGACACGACACATGAGGTGCCGCAACGTGTCAAATTTGTTGATGCTGGTACACAAACAGACGATGAATCTGTTCCCTCAACACCAACCCCCCAAAACGTCTGCTCAACACCAACTCCCCAAAACGTCTGCTCGGTACCAACCCCCCAAAATGTCTGCTCAACACCAAACACAGAAAATGTCTGCTCAACACCAACCCCCCAAAATGTCTGCTCAACACCAACTCCCCAAAATGTCTGCTCAACACCAACCCCCCAAAATGTCTGCTCAACATCAAACGCAGAAAATGTCTGCTCAACATCAAACTCCAAAAATGTCTGTTCAACACCAAAGTTCAGAAATGTCTGTTCAACACCAAAGTTTGAAAATGTCTGTTCGACACCAATCCAAGCCTGCTCAACACCAAACCAAACAAATGATGCCCATGACAAATCATTCATGTCCGGCTCTTCAGTGCCAACTTGGGTGGATGAAAAGGACATATCCTTCCACTTGTCAGACTTGGATTCTGATAGTGAGGATGGCAACCACAGTGGAGAGGACAATGGCAGTCACAAGGGTGAAGAGGATGGCAACCGTAACATCAAGGCCAAATACTTTATAACGCACAAAGACTCCATCCTCCAACTATTCCAGGACAAAGTCTGTGCAGAGTGTAACAAACGAGTTACCATAACAGACAAGTTTACAGTGGGCTCCATGCTAACAGTGAAATACGAGTGTCCGGACTTCCATAGTGGTGTGTGGCGCTCGCAGCCAAGAGTTAAGATGATGGGTGAAGGTAACTTACTCATTCCTGGTGCTATCTTGTTCTCAGGCGGAACATACCAGAAATTTTCTGACTTCTGCGAAACACTACATCTTCAGAACTTCTCAGAAACACACTTCAACAAAGTTCAAAGAACATTTCTCCTTCCAGCAATAGACCACTACTATAACTCCTCTCAAGAACAAATAATCGACTACTTCAGAAACACAGATGACCTGATGCCCCAGGATAGGGAAAGGATCACCCTGCTGGGAGATGGTCGCTGCGATTCACCTGGACACAATGCAAAGTACTGTACATATTCTTTTATGGAAGAGTCATCGAAATACATCTTGCACTTTGAGATGATACAGGTAACGGAGACTGGCAGCTCGCAATCGATGGAGACTGAGGGTTTCAGAAGGGGACTGAATTTCTTACTGGACGAGGGTATAGATGTAGACTGCGTAGTGACAGATAGGCACAGAGGTGTGGGTAAGGTGCTGAAGGAACGAAAGTACATGATTGATAGAACGATAAGTCATCAATATGACCTGTTTCATGTTTCAAAATCAATCACAAAGAAGATCTCAGCTGAAGCAAAGAAGAAGAAGAACAGGGATCTGCAAGGGTGGACCAAAAGCATTTCGAACCATCTCTGGTGGTGTGCCAGCACATGTGGTGGAGATGATGTGGTAGGTAGAAAATGTGTTATCATAAAATTTTGATCTTATTTGATGCATAAATATGCGCATGTATGGGCAGTAGGTAAAAATAAATATACCTATACTCAGAGTACATGTATAATTTTCTCCACCATTCTCTTTCTTTAGCAGTTGTACAAAATAGTTCAACTCTTAACATATCTGCAGTAACATCACTGTTTATTTTGCTGGACAGTTTCTGATATAGCCACTTGCAAATTTTTACCCTGCACCTTCTTTTCATTCTGTCTATGTAGGAGTTGATGGAGAAGTGGGAGTCGCTGCCGAATCACATAGGGAACATCCACCTGTTTCCTGACAATGTCAAGTTCAAGAAGTGCGAACACCCTCACTTGACCGACCGAGAATGGCTGAAGCCTGGAACAGAGCCACACAAGGCCCTCCGTTCTGTAGTGACTGCTCCCACCCTCCTCAGGGATATTCCAAAGTTGACTGGGTTTCACCACACTGGTAAATATGACATGTCTCTGCATATTGTATATGTAGAATGAGATGTATTATCCACATGGTGAAAAAGAACATCGAGATGTACTGAGGGACAAAAGATATTTCACAGACTGTCAGGGTGGATCAAGGTGTAAGTTTAATCAACATGCATTACTGGCAGAACAAAATGTTGCACCAAACTAATGTCATTTCCTCATCCATCAACAAATTTGATAGTTGCCCTTCACATTTAATGAAACTTACTACATATGTTTCAGGTATCACTGTTGCATTCTATAGAAGAAGTCTCATATGTACTTGTCATTGTGTTTCTCCACTGTTCTATAGGAGATCTGGAGGTGTTCCACAATATGCTGCTCAAATACACTCCAAAGCGCCTGCACTTCTGGTACATGTCTATGATGGGAAGGATGAAGCTAGCAGTGCTGGATCACAACTACAATGTGGACAGAGAACAGGCAACAACAAAGGAAGGTACATAACAAAGCTAATGACACACTTCATCACCTTTGTCCTTTGGCATGTGTACACATTCTGAAAAGTTTGATGATAAAACTGTGTCATGACCTGTGTATGTTTCTTTTCTTTATAGTGCTGGTAGATCGATCTATGTAATATCTACACGAGCCCCTTTAGTCAGATGTTAAGGTATGAAAATGTAATGGTTTCTCACCTGCATCCAGGATATTCACATACCCCGTTCTACTTTCTTTATAATGTCATTATCACAGGAGAAAAGAGGTGGGATACATCGTGGAGAAAGAGAACAAAGGCATGGACGGCACGACGTGTGTATGAAGGTAAAACATATGAGTACAAAGACGACTTGATGGCGGAGGTGGTGAGACGACAGCTGGAGGGGGAACACAGGTGTGGGGATTCAGTCCTGGAGCACCCTGACCTCGGGGCCAGCAACATCGCCACCGTGCCGCTGGAAATGAGCAAGGCAGAGCTGGTGCGAGCCCATCAATCCCGTTTTGATCGGTGATTTGAATACTCACATGCAGACTCACACACGAAAGAAAGTCCAGACATTTCAGCCAAGTAATTATCTCAATACTTAAATTCAGGCTCACACAGAAAGTAAACCATACTTTTGTGAACTGTAGAAGACAGCTTGCTCAGCAAAATTATCCAGGAAATAATGGAAGCAGACTCCTGAGGATATGTTCAGATGGTCTTCGTTGTCAAAGAAGTATTTATTTCATGACATCTACTATTAGACAAGTGCAAGAAAGTGTTTGTGCTCATTAAAAGCAAGTAAAGTTTACTATATCAGAATACTACAGATGAGTTTTTTGGGTACTAACCAGCAGTTTAAACAGTACATGTTAGATTTGATACAAACCTACATGAGATATACTTGTATAGAGCTCTACATGTACATCACTATCTGTTATCATTTGCAGGGTTAACAGTAACAGTATCAAAGCTTGGTGCAGGTGTACTGGATATTCATAGTTGATCTTTGTCTATTGTATTACACATGTTATAGACACTGAAGCAATCAGTTCTAAAAGGCTAATGTACAACATTCTGTTTTGAAGTACGAAGACCAATGCATGAATTTCTGAAGGTGACAGAAATGGAATTGTACAGTAACAATAATACTGCAGTTTTTTAAATTCATTTTGTCATTATTTCCTTGGGGTTACTACATAAAGATAGACAGTCTTGTCAGATGATCTGAGAAAAAAGTTATGTCCTTTTACATGTATCTGTATCGATATAGCCGTTATAACCGCCCTTCGGCGTAACACACCAGCTTCTGTATCTGTATAGCTGGTATAACCGCCCTTCGGCGTAACACACCAGCTTCTGTATCGATATAGCCGTTATAACCGCCCTTCGGCGTAACACACCAACTTGATCAACATAGTACCTATGTATATTCAAATATTATTCAGAATGTACAAAACTTAGCTAACTTGTTGATATCTACGTCAACTTCAAAAATGTTATTCAGAATGTACGAAACTTAGCTAACTTGTTGATATCTACGTCAACGATGCAGACGATGTCGTCGGGCACGCCTCTGTCCTCGCACTCTGTCAGGTCGTGGCAGCAAACACACTCCCTGACAGTTGGCATCTGCCTACAGTTGCCGCATCTGCACCAGATGAACTGCCTTCCGGCGCCACCCTCGGTCTC